CAATTGGTGGAGGAAGAGGAGGATGCGATCAATTCGGATGATCAAAGGTGGATAAACAAGTGGATATGATGATGGTATAGGTGTGTGTATTCGTTGCGAAGAGGACGAGCGCACACTGAACACAGCGTGAGCGCGTGCGATGTTTCGAGGATGAAGAGGTCTTGGTTAGTGTGGGAGAGAGCGCGCCTGACGGACCGGGCCGAAGTTCGAGTATGACTAAGCGCCGGCGGCAGCGGCGGTGTAGGAGACGGTGGCGGTGTGTAAAAGGAGGAGGAGGAGGAGGCGGCGGCGGCGGCAGCGGCCCCCACAGTCTGGATAATAAACATGCACCAACGGCGGCCGAGGGGGACCCCACCATCACCGACCAATCGCGACGCTCTGACGTCATTCGAATCACACCTCCGCAAGAAGAACCCCTCCGTCGTGCAGCAGTTAGTTTTGTTACCAGATGGAATTCCTTCCTCACATTTACATAATAATATAAACACACTCGACACACCCAAACCGAAGAGACCATATCACAAGAAAATCAAACTTCTTCACTAGAAACTATATCCAATTATTACGCAATCATTTCACTACAATTACAAGTAAACAATATTTCTGTTCGTAAATATTTGAGTTACGAACTGAAGGAAAAGCAATTCGTGCTTCGAAAACGTAGTGAAATATTGAAACAGAGATTTTAATTAATAAAAGTTACAATTTTTAATTGGAAAAAAGTGCTTTTTTAAATCCATAATAAACTCTCTATTATATTAATAGTAACGATAATTTATTCGATGTTCCACAAATTATACATTAATAATTATTATGCTTGGAGAAAGGATGAAAGTTGTTGAATATTTATAATTAAGTTTTGCTCTTTGGCTGCAGAAAGTAAACAAAACAAACAACATTGACATATAATTAATAACAAGAGATTCTCAACGTGCACGTGATGGTTCGTGTTCAATTTGCAAAATCAAATAATTAAAAATAAATGATATTAGAAAAAGTTAAGCAAAATGCTAATTTCAATTGAAGATCGAAAGAAAAGTTTTTACAATTCAAATGAAGAAATGTCAATTTAGTTAAATGTCAAAAACTGACAGCAATTGGAATAAGGTTAATGCAACCTGTCAAATCATAAATTGTTTGTTGAATAAATATTTCAATAGAATTATTATTAGTTGACAGTAAAACTCTCATAAGCGCAATATATTAAAACTTCTCACTTTACAGTTGGCAATTGTCCGCGTTTTCTAGCTAATTACACGCGATAAAAAGTTGGCTTTTTAATTGCCCGCCCGGTCTTCTCGTTTGTTTGTTTTTTTTTCTCTTCACACTCGTCGGACGGAAAGGAAACGCGCAATTTATTAATTAAGAATCGCGTTCTCCGATGCCCAATTAAGCCTGCACTCGTTAATTTCTCTGCTTGCTGCTCACTTCATTCCAGACTCGCGCCGCGACCGAATCGGATCCGTTACATTCTTTCTTTTTCCCATTCTTCCTACAATTAAAGAAATAACATTTTCATTTTTTATTTCTTATATTCTCATTTTTCTTCCTTGCAACAAAAAAAATATTTTGAAAAGAAAAATTCATAATGAAGAGGATTTAATTTTGTTAATTAGGTTTTATTAATTGCATCCGTTTTGCTTCTATAATTGTTGATGCACGGAGAAGGTAAAAAAATATATCTATATAATTGCGTAAACCGTTTTAAGTGTGCTGAATAAATTATGACAAGTATCTGAATAGTTTTCAAGTAATTCAACCGTATATTCATAATTTGCAATTTACTTAATTTTAACCTATAAATTTAATATATGACATTTATGTTTATATAGTACCAACTTAATTTAGAACCCTAAAAATTAAATACACAAAAAAATAAGAAGATTCTTTCACTGAATAAAAATTCTTGTAACTAATTTAAGAATGATTTTTTAAGATATTTTGACACGTAATCATAACCAATAAAAAGGCTTTTGACAGATACACGTCAAATATTCAAAATACCAACATAATTATTAATAATGTAATAAAAAGAATCTCCATGTGAACGAAGCACTTCCAACCTGATCATGCCAATTTCAACATAATAAGAGAAAAAAAAACTGTATATCTTTGTATGTATTCAATAAATTATTATTAAAAAATAAAACAAATATGAATTAATATATTCACACAGGTCTTTCGACACGAACTAATTGCATTATTATATAATTCCATATAATTAAAACTAATGAAACATGGGATTCTTTAATTATTTGTTTCACCCGAACAACTTAATTAAATAACGCATTGTTGTGTATGAGGAACGAGTGTGCTGCGTGAGATTTTAGAAATGTCAAATATTGGCTTTTGTTTTTCGTTGTACGGTAGAAACTTGTGTAAATTGTGGAAATGGGATAAATGTATAAAAATAACAAAAAACACGCGCGCCCACCATCTGACACCGCTCTGTGTCAACACCTCTTCATATGTGTACATAATCATGTATGAAAAACCATAAAATTACTTTTGATAGAAATTGGTGTTACAACATAATGCGGCGTGAAGTATATAAAACTGGATTTAATTTGGGTAAAGAATGTTGCTCTTGCAATAAGAATGCAACGTGTGTTGCCTACGTTGATAAATAAGGTAACATTTCGAAGCTGTGTTTTATTTGTTTAGCAGATGTCGCTGCGTGCTTTTATTGATATTTCCGTTATAAACAAGAAAATCGCTCGGTGAATGCATTTTCTTCTATGGATTTTCAATTCGGGCGTTATTAAGGGAAAGCCCATTGCGTTAAATATAATTCATGTATAAAAGAAAATACGGAAGAGAACGTCTCGAGGGGGTTGAGATGGACGTTCCATTCTGAACATTTCCGGAGCTTTCGCCCTATTCGAAAGGGAGGGATCCCCTTCCTCTTATACGTTTCCCCTCGTGTCCTTCCGCAACCCCTCCCCCCCCAGGCGGCTCGTGTTATCTTCCCTAGTTAGGGTTCGTAGCCCCACTAACTTTTCCACGGCCAAGAAAGCCACCCCCCAGGACTGGACTTTCGCCTCGCAACTGCCGTACCCATAACAATGGAGAGGCGAGGAGAAGACAAGATAGGCGGCTACGGCGGGGGCGGTCAAGTGGCCCCTTCGGAACATAACATTATTATCGTAGAGCTCTCTTCCACCAACACACTTCTACTCTCTCTCTCTATCTCTCTGTTCCTACTAAGTCTACGACATGATTATTGCCCTTATCCGGTTCGCAGGCCATCAGAAAACCGAAAATTTCGAGCGTTACGTGATCGAACGAGAGACCCCACTTAAAATCCGCACTACATCCCATCAATTACTCCCACGGCACGTTCAGCAAACAAGTGGGAAAAGTCCGCCCCTGCAGGTGTTACAAATCCGATTAAGAAAAACTGCACTAAAGTCGAGAAATGCATCCGACGTTCTCGATACGTGAAAATTGTCGAAACACGAACTGCTAACATTCGCAACAAATATTGAAACACTTACAACGTGATTTTATAAATTACAACAAAAAAAAATGTGTTAACAATGAAATCAGGTATATATACGTATATGATTTATAGTTTAAATTCCCGGGGTAAATTACCCAAAATGGGGTAAAAATGATTTTTTTTTGGGTAATAGGGATTTTTTTTTAATTTCATCTTACCAAACTCAGAGAGCGGTTCTCTGACTACTTTTCAGATCTTGATGTACAAACTGTAAATTGGGCTGTAAATCCTTTTAAATGTGAAATTACTAACATACCAGAAGAACCTCCAGGTTTGGCAGAAGCAACTTCCATCCAATACTGTATTCAATTTGAGACCAAAGCAAATCTTGTCGTCTTTTTGGTTGTCAAAGGCTGCAAAGGCTTTCAAAATTACACATGAGAAGGCGGTAAAAAAATTGCTGCCATTTGCATCAACCTACCATTGTGAACAAGGCTTTTCCACTCTAATGAACATAAAAACGAAAAGCAGAAATCGAT